ACTTTTAGAATACTGGCTTGAACGGAGTACGTAATCAAAGCAAAATTGATTTCTCTTTTGCTTCTTCGTCGTGTAGTGGCGGTTAAAAGTATTCACTTAAATTTTTTACGTGGTAGAGCCATGCTGCAGTTATATTAGTAGTATAATTGTAGCAAGAATGGGTCGAGACTGGTGAAGGACCACGCTCTCACAGAATACCAGCGTCAAATAGTAGCTTAAAGCTGCTGTGTTTGTGTGTTTCGTATGGTGAGTGTAGAGAACCGGAGACACTTTTTACTGGAAACGAGGCATTCCACCTAAGTCCTCACGGATGACAACGCATCTGCTTTTTGATTCGTAATCGAGGATAGATGTAGATGTCTATGGGCCGCGACAACCACTTACCATCAGGTGGACTGTGTGCTGGTTTGTCATCCAATCCTATAAAAAAAATCACTATCCCGTATCGCTCCGTGGATATCAGATGACGGAGGAAAACTGAAACAGAGTTTGGGCGACAACATCTTACTGATAATAACTCAGAATAATGCAATACTACGGTTGTCAACCCGCTTGCCAAGCGTGGTAGCTATAAAAAATATCCCTCCTTGACTTAATCAATGGGGGAAGCCTATGTTCAGCAGTGGACTTTTAATAGGACGATGATAAATTCAATTCATCAAGGAAAGCAGCCATATTGTATAATATTTCGGAGGCAAACTGTCCATGTAATTTCCAAGATTCCAATTAAATTGGACCGTATGAAAAATCTAATATGTTACATATTCTAGGATCTAGGCACACCGATAAAGTGCGAGGCGTCATACAGGTCCACTCCTTATCGATACTCAATTTAGAATCAAATCCCAGATTCGTTGTCACCCTTGAGGACTAAGATGGATGATTCTATCTTAGTCCTAGTAAAAATAGTTTCCGTCCAGCTTGTGATAAACGCAACCACCTACGCCCTGACTCTAAACGGAAAACCTCCGGAGGCTCCGTAACATTTTAATTGAACCCCCAGTACCACTAGATTCCGACAACCCAAATGCCGCCGGCCCGTCATACACCAGTGTCACAAACACAGGACAACGGATGGAACGCAGCGAGTCCGCAGACGGGCGCGCCGCACCCCCCTCTACATCGCTTACACACCTTACCCAGTCCCTGGGCGGTTCCCACCACATCCCAGAACACTGAACGATACGAGTTAGCCACCAGAGCCGAGCCCCCACTGTTCGGACACCCGTTAGATAACGTAGGTGAACTTTGTTACGTCTATAACGTTAGGAATAATGATATAAAATCACCCATCTGGAAAGCTTTAAGTCCTATGAGGCTGTATGTGCTGAAAAGCTAACAGCACAAACATCGTCAGAAACCAGGGTTTCCGTTTGTTCACGCTTCACACTACATGTGAAAGAACGCTACTTTACGCTGTAGTTCTATTACAGTGTAGACCTTCACCGAGAGCTACAATTTTGATTTTTTAACATATTAATATTGTTTTATGAGCCTTTACAATCGACTACGGCATGTTTTTTTCTTTCTTTCATAAAATTGAAATGACAAGCCAACTCGCAGTCTACATGATGGTAAATGGACGCCTGCTACCTATAAAGTGTATGTTCCGAAACGTTTTCAGTATACTGCCGTTTTCAGTATACAAATGACGTCACCAATTGACACTATATTGTACTGGCGTACCGCCGCCATATTGCGTCGGATATCCGGCCATAATAAAACAATTTTTAATTGTGTGTGCGCTGAATGAAGCATGCCAGAGTTTTTTATTTATTCAAATACAAAACATTATAGAATAATTAATGGTATCTCCATTAGGAGGATATAATGATTTTTGGAGCACAAAATGAGAAAATAATCGCCAACACTTTACCAATATGGCGCAAATGTATAACGTCATATACTATGTTTTGGAACGAATTACCAGTATAGCGTGGATTCATGACGTCATTTGCATTGGACAGTACACTGGGTTCTATTTTGAAACATACCCAAAAAAAGCTACATACGCGTTGTCCCCTCTGGGGACTAAGTTGGAATGGCTTACAATCTGCAAAATTTTTGTGGTATACACAAAACTACATTAAAATTTCTGAAGTACATAGAATATGGACATGAACATAGCAGTGCACGCACTGCATTATGGCGGCACCTAATACGTAAGGGGGTGGTTCCCAGACGGATTCCTAGGCAATACAGGAGTCTTACCACCTTATAGAATGTTACTACAGCGTTTAGGTGCGGTCCAAAAAATTCGGTTCGACCGCTGAGCGACCACACTCGCCTAGAATACTAGCGCGAAAAAGCATCACAATACTGCTGTGTTACCTATGGTGTGTCGAGAACCGAAGACCTTTTTACTGCTAATGAGGTCTTTAATTCTTAGGGTTAACAAAGCATTTGGTTTCTTATCGAGGATAGATGTCTATTGGTCACAGTATCCAGTGGTACTTGTATTGTGGACCGTGTGCTTGTTTGTCACCCTTTCTTCTATAAAATACTTTTTTTTATAGAATAAGGGTGACAAACGAGGACAGTCCACCTGATGGTAAGTGGATGCTGTGCCCATAGAATTCTACATTTATCCTCGATTAAGAATCAAAGCGCAAATGCGTTGTCACCCCTGAGTGCTAAGATGGAATGCTTCGTTTCCAGTAAAAAAGGATCTCCGGATCTCTACACTCACCATACGAAACACAGCAATGTTAAGCTGCTATTATACGCTGGTATTCTGTGAGAGCGTGGTCCTTCCACGGTCGGGCCGACTCATTCGTGCTACAACTATAGTATAACTGCAGTGTGGCTCTACCACGTATAAATCTCTATATACTCTACAAACGCACACACACACGTGCATAATTATTTCAACGCATTAAAAAGATACGAGTGCAAACAAAGGCAATTTAAAAGCCTTATTAGTGGAGATTTTTCCACAGCTGCCACACTTGACAGTTGGGTTAGTAACCATAGTTTTGTACTATTTTGAGTTATATCATATGCTTTTAATATCGTGATAGGGGTTGGCAAATGCAGCCTTTTATTTAACATTTTTCTGTTATTAGAAAGATGCTGCTGGTTCTGATTCTCGTTTCAGTTTCATCCTGTCGCCTTTTACGACATCCACGGGATAATAAGATTAGTGACACAAAAGAAGCATATGATGAAATAAATATATACACGATAACTCTTTTACTTCATGATGGGGCGATTACGGCGAACAAAATTGAAATAGGATTTTAGGAATTTCGCTTCAAGTTATAGATTTTACGATTGTTATCTTAACCCACAGAAATATAAATCTATTATTCTTACTTTAAACTCTACGCTTACTAAGTAACGAGTGCAGGTGATGCCTTATAAATAAGATGGGTCCATGGATGAAACCAAAACGTAAATAAATTTAATATCTGCCTTTAAAAGTTCTTTTTACTTGTCTTGTTACGATCAATGACCTTTTTAAACGAAATCTAATTAATTAACATATACTGTCAGTTAAAGTGAAAAACATAAAATCAACATAAATGTCAGTTAAAGAGAAAAACATAAAATTAACATCTGATCAGGGTACTGTCGATGCTTGTACCTATTTATTGCGTTACGTAATTTCACTGCTATCAATTATTACAATAATGTGTAAGAGGTTTTTAAGATTATGCTACAAGTGCAACAGTTCTACAGATGGAATGATATTGAAAGTCGAAGGTTTTAAATTCATCTTTTAAGTCATAACTTATGTTACTTTATGAAATTGCCTGCATTTAAAGCTCCGAAATATATTTCTATAACATTAGTGCGATAAACAGGCTAATATAACTAAGTGATAAACTAACTAACGGAACACCTGATCATAGTTGGCTATTGAAGTCCGTAAACACTTGCTTGCAACATACTTCACACTACTATTATCTAGATGTTAGTGCTGTTAGTCTATGCGACTCTTACAGCTTCATCTTGTTTCAGGGCTAATTAAAAAAGCTAATTAAAAAAGGGAAAGGCAATGAGGTGAGGATGATGATGAGATGGTTTATGATTTGATATTGTTACCAATCATCATGTCGCCTTTTAGGCGTTTTTCTTTGAGCTATCTAACCGCAGTCTGAGGGGGGGAGTGCGTACCCCCGTCCCTGACTGCTCAGCTCGTGTCGGTCGATGGTCTGGGCGGTGAGAACCGTCCAGAATCGCGGGTGTACGGTGTGTACGCGGTGTGAGCTGGAACGCGTCGTGCCCGTCACTTACTTCACACTAAGTAGACCACAATGCGGTTGTTACTCTTGAGGACTATGATGAAAATGCCGCACAACATGTACGGTATACTTTTGCATTCATTCGCATGATATTCTGACACATTTTCATTTTTAAATTATTATTAGCTTATCAAAATTCCACTGCTTGGAAACGATTTTTTTTTATTTTGAGTTATTATTAAAAGGATACCGGCTGCTGCTGTCAATATACTGTTTCATTTCTCTCTGTCGGCTCCTGAACCCACGGGATGATATGATAGTATAGTGGAGTCTCTAACGCCGTCACTACACGGAAACCTACCTTTTTATAGAATAAGGGTGACAAGCGAGCACACAGTCCACCTGATGGTAAGTGGATGCTGTGGCCCATAGACATCTAAATTTATCCTCGATTTAAATTCAAAATACAGATGCCTTGTAACCCCTAAGGACTCGTTTCCAGTAAAAAAGGGTCTCCAGATCTCTACACTCACCATAAGAAATACAGCAGTATTAGGCTGCTATTTTACGCTGGTATTCTGTGAGAGCGTGGTCCTTCCCCGGTCGAGCCGACCCATTCGTGCTACAACCACAATATAGCTGCAGCGTGGCTCTACCACGTATAAAACGTATATTTTTATTAATAACAAATTAAATTACCAGCCCTTTCAGTCCTTTGCTCAATAGGTCTTTTCAAGAATGCGTCCATTAGCAAGCATTACTTAAAAAATCTTCCAACCTTTTTTAATTACATTAGTTTACATTTGTTTTCAGATCGCTATTGATGGCGTTACTGTGCATCCGGGGCGACTGGTGCCTATATATCTGGCTCATATACTGCAAGATCTATTCGGCCTTTGTATGGCTGGTGGGCAATCACTGCCGTGGAGCTGATAAGGGCCGCGCAGTGATAACCGCCGGAGTCGGCGCACAGTCGTCTGGAGGCCTCCACAGAGTGCGCACGCGTCGCAAGAGAGCGCAGCAGCATCGTGTTAAACACACAGTCGCATTAGTGAGGAGACCGTCTTTGAGGCGAATTGTCATGGCACCAGGAGCAAGCACAGCGCATACTATGATGGAGGACAAGGAGAAAGCGCTTCACGGAGCCTTGGCTACCGGTAAGTTTTAAAGTGAAGGTCTTCCACAAGATTATGACAAAGAGTTTTTAGTCCTTTCTTGGCAGGCATATAAGGAAAGATACTCGTGTTATATTCCCGAACGACTCTTCGTATATTTATAATGCTAATCTTTCAGCGAAAGTTGTGAAATGCTATTGACACACATTCTCATTTTCTTTACGACGCGTTCGTTGATTTTTAGCGTAACGTTTTAAAGGTTACGTTGCTCGAAAATAATGACCTTTATTCAAATAGAACGGAACAATAACATTCATAGGAGAATAAATAAAATATAATTCAATACAAAAATAACTTCGTATAAGACTATTATAGTGAAGTTATGCTGGCATAACTTCACTATATTTACTTCACTTTATTTACATTAAACGTAGTATTTATTCTCGGCATAAATAAAAGCGTAATTTTTAAACCGTTTTTAGGAATTAATTTCGTAAGCGTCACTCTTTTCCGCACAGTTTCCTCGTTTCGCCTTCGCAAAGGCCAATACCGACGAGGATCAATGTTTATATATAATCCATTTAACTGCATTACATATTCACATAAATATTTATATGTTGGTAACCCTTGAAAGTGTTGCGGAAAGGTTATCGCCATTTAGTTTTTAGAAAATATTTTAATAGCCAGAACTTACTGCCGGCAGGTAATTTTTTTATAGAATAAGGGTGTCAAACGAGGAAATACATTGATATGTGGGCGTGGCTCATAGACAGCTAGGTACACCTATCCTCGATTAGGAATCAAAATTTAGATGCGAGGTCAAGATGAAGGCGGCGATATGATGCAGGATTCGAGGTTTTAGGAATTTTAATCGCAAACTCGAACTTTCACATGTCTTAAAAACATTTTTCCATGTCTCGGACATGCAGATTTCCTTACGACGTTTTTATTTACTGCCGAGTACGAGTTAAATCAGTACTTGAACTTCAATATAAAAAATTGAGCCGATATAGCTCAGGAGATTAAGCACTCGCCTTATAATTTCACTAGCCGTGTAGTGTTTGGCGATGTAAGAATCACTTAAAGAAGCTGCATCATATTCTGGAAATACATGAAAAACTAGTAAACCTATCGGTTTATGATACGAGAATAATAGTAATAGAAAGTGGCAAAATGTGGAATAACATTTTCACATTTTTAACACAAAATTGACATAGTAGCGTCTTACGTTTAAATAAGTTCTCATTAACATTTCTAAAAATATTTTTTATAGAATAAGAGTGTGGAATGCTGTGACACATAGACACCTATATCTATTATCGATTAAGAATCAAAATGTGAAGATGCGTTGTCAACCCTGAGGTCTGAGAAGGAATGCCTTGTTACCAGTTAAAAGGTCATATGGTTATCTACGTTCACCATAAACAGCAGTCTATTTTTCGCTGGCATTCTGTAAAGACCTGACCCTTTCTCGGTTGAGCCGATCCAGTGCTGCAGCTATAAAGTATCCAAGTACATAATTATAACGTTGCTTTTCCACTATGATACTTTTAAGCCTGTGGGCCATTAAGAGTTAAAAACAAGTTAAAGTTGGCACAAGTTAAACACAGGCCTCGGCTCATTTCTGAGAGGGTTTTAGGGCAAGGAATTGTCCGCCGCGCTGCCTCAATGCGTGTTGGCGAACTTTACATGCCTTCGAAATATTTTTTTTCTTGTTTCTCAAATATGCAGGTTTCCTCACGATGTTTTCCTTCACCAATCAGCATCATTCTCCACAAACCAGCACTTCAAATTGCAATTGACAATTTCCTTGGTGCCGGCGGGGAACGAACTCGGTTTGCTCGCGTACTGTGAAATTTACAACGAGCGCTAACCATCTGAGCTAGCACGGCTCTGGGCCATTAACTGATGGTGTTTTACGTTAAAAATTTATCTTACAAATATAATTATGGTCAAAGATGTTTGTGTTACACCGTATGATTTTGTCAAACGTTTCCATGATACAAGGGTAATTCCTAATATAGGGGAAAATATATTTCGTCATAAAAGATGAATTATATGTTGCTATATTATTAAACATACAATTATTAGACGATTAAAATTGTATATTATATTAGAAATGTGAACTTCGACTTAACTGATAAATAGTTTCTCTCTTGTTTTTATTTACTTTGAATATTCTTTATGAATGTGACGTGAGAGATATTTCTCTTGGTGCAGAGTCCAATTGCGTTCTAATAAAGGGTTTTCTGGCACCACACCAAAACTTTATAAAGTAATTTTCGAAATAATGAACACGTGCGACCAAGGAAATAAAAGGATGGAATGAAAACAGCCCAATGAACTTTCTTGACCTTTGGAGTTTAATATTTTTTAACATTAAAGGATAAGCGAATACTGCAGCCTGTAGCGCTCAAACTTTTTACCAAGTTCGAAAAAAAAGCAGGTTTTATGTGCATAGTCTCCTCTATGGACTAACTAATTAAATATTAGCCTAAAAAAATAAAAGAATTTTAGAAGTTTATTTTAAGAGATGTGCCGGTGACTAAATTTTCTAAGACCGTTGATGTCATTATAACCTTCTGCTATAAATATGTCAACGAATGCTATGAAGTTTACCATTTTATATGAATATATGTATAAGATTTGGTTATGGCCCTTTATGCCTAGAAACAGTTCTGAGCTGTGTTCCAGCGTGTAGAGCTGTAAAGTACAAAGTGTCAGTATATTTACGGCAGTAATTATACTGTGCGGCATTCCACTACGGTGATTGTGAGGCATTCCAACTTGGAAAGCCTCACACAAACTTTCAGACAAACAAAAAGCAGCGCTTCTGTAGCCTTTTTTGTTTTCAATTGGTTGCAAGTGTCTATGGAATACAGTAGTACCATCAGGTAGAATATTAGTCCGTTTCTCACTTCAATTTCATAAAAGAAAGGGCAAAATAGACGCATCTTATACAATTAATTGATTACAGAAGAGTTTCGTGCTTCAACTTTTCATCGTGATACCTGCTTAAGGGGGAAATATAACCTCAAATGGCTTAGCAAGATCCTCCGTTATGCCGAAAGTATTGCAGCATTAATTTTGAAATAAATATATGGTAAAGTTGAGGATTAATGTTAAGGTTTATGTTAGACGAAAACACGATTCCGTAAAATTTTCTCGATAGAAAAAAAAATCCAAAGTTACCTCCAAACTGAACAATAAACCGCTGTTATTCATAAAATACTTTAAATAAGATCATGAAACTTTGCATATTAACTGAACTAACCATAAAACAGTGCTTATGTTATTTACTTTTTTTAAAATATCATTATTTTCACTATAAAAAAGAAATTACCTAAATTAGGTAATTTCTTTTTATAGTGAAAAAAAAAAGCCATTTGAGGTTATATTTCCCCTTAATTAGTGGCAACAAAGCGTTCATGTTAGCCCTCAGGGATGCAATACACATATTGTAACTTAACCGTTCTTAAAGAATTTGTTACTCTCGTTGAAACAAAAGACTGGAAGATGTCATATCTTACGTTTGTGTAAGTATTTTAAACATGTTGATCAACGAAGCATACGCTTCGGTTACTGTGAATACCTATTTAAATTTATAAATATAATTCTTGTAGAAATAACAGCTGTAAAATAATAATCTCGGAGGCGGGGAACAACGTTAAAGGTTGAGGAACTCCGATCCCCAATCCGCCTACGAAAGGTACCGATTAAGACAAATCCTTGCTTTCTTTAGGCATGGATTCCCTGCTACGGGCTGATAAAGAAGAGTAGGAGCAAGATTATCATCAGTACAGCCCTTCACAAGTCCACTGCTGAACATAGGCTTACCAAACAGAATGCCAGAAAGCACTGAACCACCTGCATCCTACGACTCCCTGCATGTCTTACCAGGTCGTCCCTTCATCTAGAGGGGAGCCACCTCACACTTTGCCTACTGGCACGAGGCTGCCATTCGAGATCCTGTTTCCCCATCGGTTGTTTGTTGTCACTTCAGCTTACTTACGGATTAGTAAGCTAATGAATACATACTTCACCTAAATTATAATTCAAAGATAAATTATCGTCGACATTAGTATTATAGTATATTATAGTTGCGAATTGTGATGGATCCATCTCATATCATCTCATAGATATAGTGATTGTCAAAATAAGGAAGTATATCCTGCATTTTCTGATGTGTTACAAAAAACGGGTGCTATCGATACGCTTGTATTGATTCGGTTGTATATTCTGGTCTGAAGGTTAGTTTTAGTGCCACTTTATTTACGGCCTGTAAGGGCATTTCATATTGATCGTAATGACGTTCAACGCGTGTTGCCTTTCTTGTTTGAAGTTGGCTGCAGGTGTTTATTGACTGCAGTGGCCACTTACCAAATTATAATTTTAATAAATCATAGCATAAAAGTCGTCTGGTGTTACTGTTGTTCACCTACTAGTACCAGGTGTGACGAATAATGTCCGATTCCTATAATCAAGAAACGTTTTGTTCTTCGCAACGATTCGTTTTGCTACATTGGGGTGGATGTTAAAATAGTTTAAGATACAAATAACTTATTCAGCAGTTTAGGATGACTCAAAATAAAAAACTTTAAGTGGTTTTTAATTAAACTGTAGGGTTTTTTGTTTTAAAAAAGTGTTTTCATTCATTTCATTTACTGTTTAACGGCATGTAAAAGAAAAGGTGAGCTGTAAGTTTGCTCATCACTTTTGTTTTATATATAAATAATTGTGCGTGGTCCTTCCCCGGTCGAGCCGACCCATTCGTGCTGCAACCACAATATAGCTGCAGCATGGATCTAACACGTAAAGAAATTTTTCATTGCTTTCCGTTGATGTCCGCAGGAAGATGAATCTCCCGTTACATTAGACAGATTTGTGTATCCATACAATTTAATTTAAATCTTTTATAACCTATTTATGTATAACAATTACGCTATCAACGTAGATTTCGATAATAATTATTAACATGCTATCATAATCGATTAGTCTTTATAGTCGATATTAAAATAAATCGTTTTTACGGCGACAAGAGG